AATGACAGTTTGCCCTTAATAAGCTCTTCCTATTTTGAACAAAACCACCATTATTAGATGTTCTTACACACACACACACAACTCTACACTGGCTACAAAACAAAGATGCTGTTGTGACTTAACATTACTGACAGAGCTTAATGTTGGTCAACACAATGGCATGTTGTATTCATTAGTATAAATTAAACAGCAAGTTTAAAGAAAAAACTAAACTAAATGATAGAGCAGCATTAGTCTTAAGGACACAAACGTCAAAACCACATAAAAAGCCTGCCAATCACCCTCAAAGCTACTCTGCAGGGTACCTTATAAAGTGTAAATAACGTTTTACTGTCCAGTTGGTGTTTATGGCATCAGTTTCTTAATGTTGTGCGGTTATCCTGAGTGTGTGTGTGTGTACATCTGCTTTACCATGCAGGCTGTGCTCCAGATGTCTGCTGGCGTGCTGTAGCCGGCTCCCATCAGCACCTCAAGAGAGCGATATTGCCGTGTCTGGATGTCATCTGTGAAGTGTTTATGCTGTAAAAAGAAGTGAGAAAGTGTGAATGCTGGCACACACACACAAGAAGAACCTAAGTTGGTGTTTAAGAAGTTAAGAGAGTCAGATTGACAGTGCAGAGAAACACAGTTGAAAAAACTCAAGTTGCCAAAAGAGTTGTATATTTAAAAATAGAGCGCTAACGTATATTTTTACTCACCACCCAGCAGGCATTGCCAAGGTCAGCGATCTTAACCTGCAGCTTGTCAGCATTGAGAGGCTCCAGGGGGTTTACTAACATACTCCCTGATGCTCCTGGTAAAGTGGGGAGAAGAGAGGGAGACATGGACAGATGAGGCTGAGAAATAGAACATCACTATCAAGAATGACAGGATTTTTGCACATAAAAGAGAACCAAGATGATCTAAGCTGGAATACTGCTTAAAACTGCACGGTGTCATTCCTGCAACTAGGGCTAAAGTGACTTAAATCCCAACAATCACAAGAAACTTGACAATCTTTTACAACCCAACTTATGGATGAGCATTTTGTGGATTGTGTCTTCAAACCAAGAGTGGAGGCTGCTACTGCAGTTTGCAGCAAATTCTTCATTACAAGCGATAACACAGGATGCTCTATAAACAGTTAGTTGGTTGAGGGTGATGTGTGGGATAAAAAAAAAAGAAATATATTAGCTTAACCAACACAGCCTTTTTGTCCTGACACAGCCTGCTCAACTCCAGCTCTTAGTAAAAACCATACAGCCCACTCTTACTGACACTTCAGCACTTGTTTTGTCCTCCTCATTGTGAAGCATGTTTCATTAATATGCAAATAAAGAGCACAATCTGACTCACAATGGCTATTACATCCTCCCATGTGATATCAGATTCTTGCACAAGAATAAAAATATTCTACATGTTCAACAACAAAACATTAGGCATAATTTGGTGTATTGTAGATCATTTCCAAGTCTTCCTGTGTGTATTTAGTACTGCAGTGCTCCTGGGAATTTAGGGTTTGCAAAAATGTAAATGAGATGGATTGCAAGAGATTTGCTAGATATGTAAAATATGGTTATTATTCATTTATACATTAGAAATATGTTTAAAATTATGCACAAGACATCAGATTACATATTGTGAAAAACACAGCTTTCCCAATATTGACTACTTAGTATAAGTGTCCTATCCTATATTCATCTATAAAGGGGAAAATCTGGGTTCCTTTTTTAACTAACCATTCAGGCTTTCCTCTTCTTCGTTCCCTCTTTTGGTCTCCCCCTGAGTGTCCATCTCCTCCTCCTTCTTCTCCTCTTTGTCTCCCGCCTTCAACTCCACAGTGACAGAGTCTGGACTGAGGGTAGCAGGAAGTTGCTGGAGGTTGGTGTCGGGGTCCTCTTGTGATCCGTTACAGGTCTCGTGTTCCTCTTTGATACATAATGTGTCGCAGGTCCCTGTGTTGCTTTCTGGTTGGTTTGCATTCTGTTGGTCCTCCTGTTCCTCTGTAGACTGTTTAGTAATCCCTTGTACCTCTTGACTGGTTTTGTTCTCCGGTGTGGAAGTGTGGCCGTTGCAATTGACTTCCATTGTGTTCTCCTCCTCCGGAGCGTCCTCTTTTGGCTCACTCGCGTCTGGTATTTGCTGGGGCTGCTCGTCAGGAGTCGAATCTATGGCAAAAAGTGTGTGGATTATTCAACTCAGTTTTATTAAACTTTTTAAACTTGGCCTATTACTCATATGCACTCCTGTGGATGTAACATGCCATTGGCTACTGTTACCGGCCTGAGCCTGCTCCTTTAAGCGCAATGGCTTATGGGAAATGTAGGAGGAAAAGGGAGGGCGCAGTGGGTATGTCCCGCTCGATACTCATGTTGTGTTCTTCACCGTGTCTGTGAGAAGCAAATAAAATGGTTCTGGTTCGCTAGATTAATCGTCTCCCGTACAGTCTGTTTGACGGCGACCCGGGCGGCTTGTTACCGGCATAAACGAGTCATCACAGTAGTGCCGCGTACCACGGTATGTGCCACGGAGCTGAAACAGGTAACACTACTATCTATTTACATTTTTTCAAAACACTAATTCAATCAATCAATCAAAAAAAAAAAAAAAAGCCATTTGCTGTCCATTTGACTGAGGACTAGGACATGCTCAATCATTCACCTGAGTTAGTATGGCTTGCAATGTCCTGCAGTGTGACAGACATAGAGAGGGTGGCCGAGGAAGTTGTATCTTCTGTGGTCTCTGTTGTCTCCTCATCATCCTCCTCTTCTCCAGCATCAGGCACCACTCCCCCCTCCATCTCCTGGATCCTCTTCTCTAGTAGCTCTGCCTGCTTTTTTTGCTTCTTCTTCATCTTCTTCTTTTTGTTCTTTGACATTTTGGCCATCTGGGAAAAGAGGACAAGTGGAGAGTTTATATTCTGACTTGACTCAAATTGTATTTTGTACAAAGTCCTCATGTCACAAGGTCTTGTTAAAAAAAGATGTAACTTACTGGTTTGGGAGCTGGGGCTGTGCTCACTGTAGGAAACAGGAAATATCCAAAGATTATATTGCTGAATGACATGTGGCACATCCATAGCCTCTATAATTAGTATTCTGTTCGGGAGGCTGAGTTGATTCACACCAAGCTGTACTAATAGACTGTCTCTGCAGCGGCACCCGGCTCAGCGGGAGTCACACACTCCTCTAAGCAAGCTGGTAATTTCCATAACCAATCTAGTGGTGAGTCATAGTGACACACAGCTAAGCCCTCCGCTTTTATTAGAAACATCCACACGCTTTATAGTCAAAGCTCTCAAGTTTCTGAACCCTTACATCAGACACACAGGCTTATATCACAGAGCTGGAAAAAGAAAAAAAAAAACATCACTCTGAACTTATGTTTGGTTTTTGCCTCTTGAAAATGCAATCGTATAATAAAAACACTAATCGATCAAATCACCTGTTTCAGTATTGACAGTCGTCGACTGGGAATAACTGATAACGGCTCACTTTTGTAGTGAACCAACATGTAAATGAAAAATGTCAATCAAATACTGTAAGGCATAAGACCTGCTGATAAATCTAAACATCAAACCTCTTGTTTGTCAGCAATGCGTCAATCAAACCACAAAACTTGTGTGTGTGAGAACAGAGTCAGAGGGGTTGTGACCTGCAGAACCCGAGGGAGGCGCAGCGCCGGTCTTCTGCCACTGCGTCGCTTCAGCAGCCATCTTCTTGATGTAGGGCTCATTGACAGTCAGCAGGATGTTCTCTGGTTTGATGTCTGTGTGGATGATCTTACACTTGGTGTGGAGGTAGTCTAAACCCTGCAGAACCTGTAGTGCAGAAAAGTCACAGCATTAACACAGCATAAACCCTTAAAAGTTGCCCACTTTGCCCGTTGCCAGTGTTTGTTTCTAAGTTAAACTGATATGACTACCAAACATGAAAACATTTTACCCATTTCTGTTTTGCTGTACAGTACCTGTTGTATGATGCTTTTAACACAGGGTGAGGGCAGGCCTTGATAATTTGACTTAATAATCCACTTCAGAAGGTGGTAGCCCAGTACCTCAAATACCATACACACATCTGAAGAAACAAACAGTCAAGGACTAGTAACATTCTGATAGTACCTTTAACCTGAGCTCACTCTACCTGCAGTAAAACTGATACGCACGCACACAAAATAACATACACACAACTTCACCTTTTCTATATAGTCAATCATTTTTAGAAACAGTTTTTGATACACTGCTGAAAAAAAATTCAAGACACAGATAAGTGTATTTAATTTTTTTCAGTTTAAGAGGAAGTCTGGGCAGGCTGCCTGAACACACAGACTGTAGACTGGATGGCGTGGGAGCAAAAGGGATGGAGCGAGTATCACCGCATCAAGGATTGTGACACTTTAAGGAAAGATACATGTAGCTGAATGTCAGATTAGCATCTGTGAACTATGAATAGCTGAGCAGTGTAAATCTGGAGGTGTAATAATATGCTTGTATTCTTATATGTGTCAGATGACTGACACTCAAACTGCATCTTGTCACATCTTGTTTGCATTTTAACTCAGTAATTTAATAGAAGTCTGGCAGAGATGCGCTTATCTTTAAAAGACAAATGTATCCTTCAAACACAACACAATGAGCTAAATTAATGTCCAGCCTGAGGTGCTGCAGTTTTACCCTTGGATGTTCAGCACTAACGTAGCTATTTAGAGTGGAATGAGTGTAATCATTATGTCCAAGCCATCAGACTGAGACAGAAACAGCAGGCCAGAGAAAATGGAAGGACGCTGAACAATTAAACTGCTGTTGTATCACGTCTCACATTGTTCACAGAATGACAGCACTGGAAAACCTTTTACAGTTCTGTCAGTTGGCACAGTCAGAAAACTGGCCAGGAAGCACCATTTTAAAGACACTAACTCTGGCATACTGTGAAGTAACTGTTAGTTTTTGTTCAGTTTAGTAATCAGATATTGCTTTGCGAAACCTAAAACCAGATTTAAAAAACTGCATAAATGTTACTTCTTAACAAAACGCTTCTTTCTGAATGGAGGATACGAGTTCCATTCATGCCGGAAATTTTGAAGTCGTCGAGCAGCTGCACCACTTTCTCTCTGTTAGGGTCACTGGGATCTGTGTTTCTGACCTGGAAAAGACAAACAAAAAATTGTCGTCCATGTAAAATCTGGAAAAGCTGAAATATGAGCCAGTGTGTAAAGATTCATGTGCCTTACAGATTTGAGCAGCTTGATCTCATCCAGAGCCGTCTCGGTGTAATGTTCAGCACTTTTTACAACCTTCATGGCTACAAAGCGCTTCTCCCTGGAAATTACATGGATAAAATCAGTTAACTAAACATATTGCAACCACATGACATTGATTCAAATATTTATCATGTAATATAATATTAATTATAGCAACAACATACATGTCCAAAGACAGTGTTAACCTAACAAGGCACCAGACTCTATAGTACAATTATATTTTAACTGGCTCCATAAAACTAGTAAAATGGCCCCAAAAATATTCAGACAGATAATATATGAGCAAAGTTTAATGAGGTTCATAAAATGCTAGATAAAGTGGTATTTGATCTATAGAAACACACACCTATTACAAATCTAAGTAGACATTTTTTGTTAGAATAACTAAAACAGGTTGTGAGTTGAGAACCTATTACCGCCCATCGTATATAGCAACAAAGAAGTATATGGGCAACTTCTGATGGTGGAACTGATCAGTTGCTAACATGGTGAACTCCAGCTGTGGTTATAGTTAACTTCTAGCAGAAGACCAGGCTGCATAACTATATAACTCTACTACATAAACATCACATTTAGCACAGATGTAATACATATCTACTGAAAAAAGGCACAAATTAACAGATTTCCCCCCCCCCCTCATAAGGATCCAAAGCTACCGCCTGCCTGTTGAGGAAGTTTTTCAATGACCCTGACCTAAATCCCATCTAGCACCCACATAATGTGATGGAGAAAAAAAATGCCAGCTCGTCGATGCTACTGTGAGTGAACTAAAAGCTGGAACTGAACACGGACGAAATTTTTATGACAGATGTTAAAGAAACTGGTGAATTCCTCAAACATAGTCACGCAGTTCTGCAAACTAGCAATCTAAATACTAATCTGCTGTTATTATAACTAACTGTAAGTGTCCAAATATTTGCTTTCTCTCATTTTGAACTGTGTATTTTAAGCATCATCCTATTTCTATTTCTTTTACATTTTTTTTTAATCTAATGCAATGAAATTCATACATTTTAAGTGTGGTGTTAGTGTTCTAAATATTTTGAGGGTATGTGCTACTTACACAACTATTCAGCAGACGACATGTTGAGATCCAGAAACTATTTTAAACCCTTCTTTTTTGGAAGCATTACAGTATTTAAAAAAAGCATTCTTCCCTGCAATGTAGCAGCAGCTGTGTCTTAGCAAAATCCACTAATAACCTCTGCAAATCTGTTCTTACAAATCTCTACGTCTCAGTTTCACATAGCCACGTCGAGGAGCCAACTTACTGGATGTCCCAGGCCAGCCACACAGTGGAGAAGTGCCCCCAGCCCAGCTTACGGATCACATGGTATCTCCCGTTGAACAGATCTCCAATCTTCACATGATGATATCCACCTGAGCGAAGACACGTGCATGCATGCAGACACTTTCAAACAATGCTGTAATATCATTGTACAATCGCTGTGTCTGTGTACTCGGATTAAGCTTCACTGTAGCAGGACTTGAGTTAAAACCATTGGCAGATTTTTTATTTATTTATTTATTTTTTTAAACAAAACATACTACAAATTGGTTTACTCAAACTACAATATTAAAACCATGTCTCAAATCTAAGACATATTGGGTAACAGCTACCTATTAAAAGCTGTTTGCCATGGCAGCATACTGAATAATTTCATAATTTATAGCAACACTCTGTGGTATGGAGAGAGAACAGAGGGAGGGGACAGGTTTTCTCTTCTCATCCATTTCAGAAAGTGCAGGTGCTGCTTAGCTCTCTTGGCCAGGAGGTTGCGTTTACAAGTGCAGTCAGACTGTCCATGATTTACTAACCCAGGACATTGATGATTCTGGTGAAACTAGGGTGTGTACTGCATTTCCTCTTGAAGCCAAGACTGATCTCCTTTGTTCTGTCGTCATTTTCTCTGACAGCTTGTTTGTTTTGACAGCTTGGTTCACTTCCTCTTTGCAAGCTGAGTCATTATCGTCACTGATGAGGCCCACCACAGGACTAAGGGGGCCTAGGGGGGAACCAGTTCTCAGCGTGTAGGTCTTTGAAGTATTTTTACCAACTTGTACTGAGTAAGAAATCCTAAAATCCAGCTGCAGAGTCAGTTTTGAAGACCCAGTGGAATAAGTTTAGTCTATGAAAAGAATCTGGACATACCTGTTCTTAATTTCAACACATATAAGACTGGGTGTTACTGACATAGCACTGTCAGTAGTGAGGTTTTCTAGGTGGAACAGGTGTCACAGAGATTCTAGATATTTTGTGCTCCAGCTTCACAAAGCACTTCATCTTGATATGAGAGCGCCACAAGACCATGATCACTGAGGCACAACAATGGCAACCTTTTCGGCACGAGCTGGAGGTCTTTTATTTCTGGTAAGGAGTTTTTTTCTCCCTACTGTAGCCAAGTGCTGCAAAAAGGGACTCCAAAAGAAACTTTGCATCTGTGGGGCTTCTCTGTATATTTTGTAACACTACCATGTGAATGGCCTTAACATGACATATGTTGTGAACTGGTGGTCTATAAATAAAACTGAACTGAAATGAAATTGAATAGTATGGTGGTGGCTTTGAAGCACAAGGGGACAACAAACTGCCTTGGAGATGTTTATGAGGATTATGTTACTTAGTCTGCACTTTCTCTCCGGATAACATACCACATCTCCTGATACCACATCATGGTATGCTATCAGGACCTGCCACCTTCTGTGGGTTGACGCTGTTTACAGTTTTCCAATTGTCAGCTGGGTTGAGAAAAAGTTCCTAGTCATTGCAAACAGTGGCAGCCTTCTTTGGTAGACTGCTATTCGTTTCCCCCCCTTTTTTTTTTTGCACAAAATACATGCCAATACTAATAAAAACTGTTCATGCCACCGCATTATTATCTTTGTTTTACTGGACTGAATACATAAATATGATAAGAGCGTAAGAGTGAGAGAGGTCCTACCCCTGCAGTAGTCGTTGGGGTCCTCCTGCTCGTCGTCATCAGAGCCCAGGATCTCCTCATCCTGCTCTGGGAGGGGAGAGTCTGCCTGACCCTGCTGAGAGCCGCCTCCACGACCATGAGGCTCTGGTCTGAGTAAGGAAGAGACACAGAGGGACGGGGATGGTAAGACAGAGAGAAAATGGAAAATACAGAAACATAAATGACAGGAAGCAAAATTGACAGTGGCGAACAGGTGCAAGATGTCACAAAGACGGATAACAAAAAGCTTGCAGTATGCTTTTATCCAAAGCACGACATGAGCGATATCATAGATTAGGACACATTCTGATTTCCACAAAAGTACAAGTAAGTAAAGATCAGGAACGTGTTTAATATTTCTGAGATGACAGAACAGGTGAGTCAGCACAAAGCAACACAGAAAAGCAGTGAGAAATAATGTGTTTCTAAGTCACTGCAGTGAAAATATTAGGATGAACATTTGACATAAAAATATGATTTTAAGACCAAGGTGAATCAAAATGCTCCAGGACACCAGGACATTAGTGCTGAAGATCAAATAGCTCCAAACTAACTTTTTCCCTGGTAGCACCGGTGCAACCAACTTTTGGATTTGGTCACACCTCCCACGTTGTCACAGGCAAAACACATCACTTGTTGAACATCTGCTTATCAATAGACACTAAAATTTCCAGATGTTCCCTAAACGCTCCACATTGCAGGCTGCGGTAGCTGCTGCATGCTCAGACAAGTGTGTGACCAAAAAATACTTTGAAGAGTTAAACTGGGGCATTCTAGTGTCAGATTTTCCCGTGATGAAACAGAGTGATTTTTTTGTACAATGTGGAGCCCACCTACATGTGCAGTTCCACTCATAGAAAACAGCGAATGCAGGTGTGCTCCACATTTCATGAGAAGACTAGAATTTTAAGTGTAAATACCACAGTCCACTTAAGTTATAAAAGTGCTGCTTTCCACCATTGCGGTTAACACAGTAGCTGCCTGCGCTGTTTACTGTGACACCAAAACAGCTTAATGATCATCATGCACTTGCACGAATCAGTTGAAATTTCAACGCACACACTCTCAAAAAATAGTCACAAATGCGATACTGGTAAAAAAAAAAAAAAAAAAAACACACTTTGGAGCATTTAAAAGAAGATGTTGGAACAACAATTTCAATCCCATCACAAGACAACCAAGTGCAAAATATTCTGCTCATTTGTAACAACACCCTTCTGCTGTGCATGATCACAGTCTGGAGCCCCGATTAGCATGTACCACTGATACTGAATTATTGACACAAAAAAGTTGAAAGCTAACCACATGCATTTTGAGAAAATCAAGTTTAAGTCAGTTATTTCTTCTTTTTTTTAATTTTATTTTATTTAGCCTTTATTTAACCAGGTCGGTCCCATTGACATACAATGACCTCTTTTTAAAGGGAAGCCTGGCCTAGACAGCAGCCTGAGAAACATTAAAGTTCCAACAATTAAAAATAAATAACACATATCTCTAATATTGTAACGCCAAGTTAGGCTCTTCTATTTCCAACAGCCACAAATGCCCACAAACAGATAGTATTTATGCAACTTAAATCTCTACTGAATGGTGTCAGTTTCCAAGAAGAGAACTTGATAACGTTTATAGTAATGCATCTAATTCCAAAAGTGAAATTGGGAACACCCAGTTTAGAGTGGCATCTTTACATAAAAATCTTTAAATGCCAGAGCCATTTGGTGACTGTTTCTGACAAGTCTGACAAAAGTGTCCCTATTATTCAGTCAGTTTGAAAGCAACCAGCATCTGGTGGTGAACTGATTAAAATAAACATATTATTTTATATATTTTCAAAGCAATTTGAAGTGGTGAAACACGTGTGTTTAAAAACAATAAGTACAAGCAGCTACATTTTCTCTTTTAGAGGCTACAGACTGTACTATGTCAAAAACTATGGAATTATGCATTGCAGGTGTACACGTGAAAAAGCCTTTTACAGAGACATCGATCACCTGTGAAGGGCACAAAAACATTGCAGAGTAAAACTGTATCAGAGCAGCTAAGTGGCTCAAAGAGCTGCTGCAGGACATTTTCAAACCATAAATCCTTCTTACCTCACATTCTCTGCCATTACAATAGCAAAACAACCTCAGTGAGGTCAGTTTAAAATCCAGTTTTTCCTCCCTTTCATATTTTTCTGTCACTCTTATTCATTTCTGTTTATGTCCCTGCATTACATCAAGTTTTATGACACCTTTTATACAACACCATACAATATCTCTTCTTCTACGGGGTGCCATTAACTCAGCTTGTAGTCCTTCAGCTTTCAAGTTTTACTGAGCAGAAATGACTTGCTTTCATCTGAGACACTCATCTCTATTATAGCCGATTTCTGGAGTAGAATTTGAAACAGCATGAATGAGTTAGACAGTGTCAGTGAAATAAATTGAAGTACATTTTGAGGCTACACGGTAAGTGCCAATGGCCAGCTGGGAAGCCGAAGAAGGGAAGAGATGAGTGACAAATCCTCCCTGAATCCCAGCGACTCAGGCTGCAGCATCGCCATAAAACCAAATAGTATTAAACAATACGGCTCCTTCAACCAAGAGCTAATATCATTAAACATTAAATGTATTGTTGAATAACTAATGTTGATTCCACAATGCTTAAATGAGCAGATTGTGTTGTGTGAATCTGAACACGGTGGTATAAATGATTAATATCAAAAGTCCAGTTGTTCATATAGGAACAAGGGAGGGTAACAGAGAACATGTTTGTTTTCCTGAAAAGACCTCACCACAGGATGGTTAGAAATCAAGTAAGTAAAACAACAGGGCCCTGCAGATAGTGAATAGAAGCATTTAAATACAACCAGTACTCCAAAAGGGGGTTATTGAGCTCATCCCATTGTAGAAACTATTAACTGGCAACACTCACAGTCAATCAGTTGCTAAAGCATGCCATGGAGGACAAGCTGAATGAAATTATTGTGACACATCATTTTTTTTGTTTGTTTTTTTATGATGTATAAAGCTAATGACTTGTTTTTGGATAAACTAAACAGCAGTCAGCTTGTTAGAGTGACTATATTCTTGGTGCTGTCCAAGGTGCTGAAAGACAATACTGAACTGTCATCGTCTCCCACCAGATCCACACCACTGAGTCACATCACCACTGAACAACATTGATCCAGGTTGATCAGTACAATTTTACAAACATCACAATGAAGCACGGGTCATTTCTATGAGTTCTGTTAACATTCAGACAGACTGGACCAGTCATCACACAGTCTTTCCACTCACTAAATGACCATAAAAAGGCCTTTAGGTAATGATGATCACTATTCACATCTAAATCTGCTTCAACAAAGAAACCAAAATAGGGCAAATATCCGTTTGGGTTGTTGCTTGTGGTGCCTTCAAACATTAGAAAAATTAAATAAAGCATCAATAAAATATTATATGTGGGGAAGGTATGTGGGGAAAGTCAAAATCTGAGCTACATTTCCTGCACAAAAGGGCGAGACCATCACTAAATCCAAAGAAAATTAGTTTTATAATGGGTTACTGTATTACCACAAATGACTGATTATAGTACACTGGGGAGGTAAGTCAGATAACGGCCAACAGCTTCCAGCAAGAAATCCTGTTCTCTGCATGCGAACAGATGTTTCCCCTTTCAAGCAACATTGTTTTTCTTCACAACATTTTAACCCTGGAGTAAAAATACAAATTGTGCATAAATCTTACATACAAAACCTCTCATTTGATTTTATCTACGCAGATTCATTTTCCCAAGCCACTGACAAAGCACACTGGTTCAGTGTGCTACACATTTGGACATGGTGTTTCAACGTAAGGGACTGAATCAAACAGAGACACAAGATGGTGCCGAGAAGGATTTAGAGCTAATTAAAGGAAGACACATATTATGTCCTAAGCTTTGACTGGGTCTAAGCAGCTGATTCTCTGAAGACAAGTGTTTTCTGGGACCTGTCATGGCTTCTTAAAATGAATCATAATTTGATGGTGGAGGCAAAACACAAGAAAATCTGTTTGGTTGCTATGGTTGAGGGTACTTTGCTGTGATCTGCTTGCAAACAATTTTAAAGTCATTAGGATTAGCATGCATAGCTAATCACTTCATTGGCTTACGTCTAAGCAGGACGACCACTCTGGATGCGTCTCTGCAAAACGTGCTTTAAAAGCTGTGTGATGTTTAGCTGCCTGATGAACTCAGCTGTTTGTTACAGTTCCTTAGGGGGGAAGGCAATTACAATGTTGAGCTTAAGTCAGAGGTGCAGGCACGAATTAATAAATTAGGTCCTGTGCTATTGTGATTAAAATAGGTTCAGAGTTCAACTGATTCAACTTCAAGAAAGGAAATGTGACCCGTTCCTGGTTTATGGAGCACACGTCAATATCAACATCAGAGAGAGGGGGGGAATGTAAAACAGTAGCTAATGAAACATTTATGCATTCCACTTTCTATTTGCATATCTGCCCACATACAAGCCAATGTCAGCAGATCTGTGATAATCCAAATATCACAATAACACTACTGGGCTGCTGATATATCAGAGTGGCTCATGTGTGTAGGAGGCGAGGCATTCTCGTAGAAGAAAAAGCTGAGAGATTTTGCTCATTATTCTGTTCATTCTGCTTCTACAGTACATATTCCCATCTGCTGTGAGATTTCCTCCTTAAAAAGTGTCACCAAAGTGGGCATACTCACATTTTTTTTATTTTCTCAGCCAAAAAAAAGTCTCCCTACAGTTGACAGCAGTATTTAAATGAGCAGGCATCAAGACATTTTCAGTGATTTCTGGTTTGCAAATTCAGTAGCAGATTCTCATTAACTATTATAATTACAAAAAGCGTCAACCCAAACGCAGTGTGTCAAGGCAAAACAGCACTACATTTGTCGATGAACTAAAATGCACAGAATCCACACAAATTTAGCAAAACACAGCCTCGGTCATTCTAGTGCTCCAAAAGTGAAATTCTCCATTCTCATTCCTGCTTGCTGTGCATTCAATACTCAAGTTAACAAGCTTTGGAGTATCAATATCTACAATGACCAAAAAGAAAGATTTACATATGAATAAAAGATGCTATATCACAAACATGTT